CATATGATTATTTCTGGTTCAGCCTTCTAGTTCTTTGCTTGTAGTTGGAGTTAACTCCTGACTTTGTCCTTCCTGCCAAATTTTCCAAGCTTTTAACAAATCTATACCTTCCTCGCAAGAGTAGATTTTAAACAGAATCTTGACCTTCCAGATTTTCAAAAAAATTGAATAACCCCACAGATATCTGATGTTATTTTTCTTCAAAATTGTAACTGGCTTCATAGATCCTCTCCATTTCACAGATTCATTATATAGATCCTGGAAAATCTGTATCTTTCTGTCCCGATAAACCAGTTGGTCTTGTTTTTGTTTAATTACTTTCATAAATTGTTCTTTCTTTGTGTAATTCAAAAACTTCACCACCACTGGTCTAATTCTGAGACTTTTTGGGTTACCCAGGAAATATGCCCTTTCTATATCTGTTTCAGTCAGATGTTGCATGTCTGTTATGGAGTTAATCCAAACTATAACCTCTTTTCTGAGATCTTGTCCATGTTGCACTTGGAAATTCATTATTTTAATATTAGACCTTCTGAGGTTATCTTCCATGTATATCAGCTTTTTATCAGTTTCACAAATTTGTTGATCGATAGACACTATTTTTTCTTTATTTGTTTGAATTGTCTCTCCAAGGTCTCTAATTTTACTTTTGACGTCTTTAAGCTCCTGTGAAACCCCTGAAATTTGATCTTTATTAATATTCATTTCGATGGACTTCGATCTTTGCTCTGTTTTGTCAAAGCCTCTAACATTTTACAGGATAAATCTTTTATGAGCTTCGTAATCTCGTCCATCCTATCTTCTTCAGTTGGTAGGGTCATCAGTCTTTCCAAACTGTGATCTGAAGGGGCTTTGACAGATTTATCCCTCCTCCTCGACATAGAGAGATCTAATTAAGAATAATTATTGTTGTTTCAGGCTTTCATTAGGAGCAGGGCAATTGGAAAACTCCAGAAGCTTACCGGACCCAAAAGTGAAAGTAATTCCCGGTTTTAAAACAACACAGTCCTTAAAGAATTTAATTAGCTATACACTTTCCTTATCCTTCCCTTTGATGATTTATGTAACAAAACCAGTCTTCTAAAAGAAAAAATGCATTTTAATAGCTTTTTACCTTGCTGGGCGATACGGAGGTTTGCTCCTAGCTGGTCATTCCCCCAAGCGGAAGTGACGTCTCCGCAAGACGTTTTCATTAGCTTACTCTTTCAGCATTTCATGCAGCAAGATACAAGTGTCCTCCAGTCATTGTAATATGCTCTTATATTGTCTGCTATTTTCTGTAAAGAGAATCTTTTCTGTGTAGGAATTGTGTCATTTTTGGTTCATTACAAAATATGTACAGATATGCCACTTCTCTGCTTAGTATGGTATTTGGACTACTGTTACAACAAATAGCTCTTTTTAGGGTTTGCAGACTTGAGTGCTCCACTTGGAGGTTCCCCGGATTCTTTCAGATGGTGTTCCTTGTTCATCCCTTGGTCCTGACTTCGGTCTTTATTCTTTGACTTCTTCCCAAGCATAGTTCCTAGTTTCTTGTTGCCAATCCCAGGTTCATTTCAAAGCAAGTATGCTGCTTATATACCACCCCGTAGTGCTTAAATCACTCTTTGGGCAGTACAATTTAATTATACAGTGGTGCCTTGACTTACGACCATAATCCGTTCCAGAAGATGATCATAAGTCGAAATGGTTGTAAGTCGAAGCAGCATTTCCCACTGAAATGCATTGAAACCTGATTAATCCATTCCAGCTGTTTTTTGGTTGTATCTATAGGTGCCGGTTGTAAGTCGAGGTATTCATTCCCATAGGAACTAATGCACTAGGGGGAGAATTTTTCTTCTTTTAAACTAAGATAACTTAGGTTAAAAAAAGGGCAGGAAAGGAGGGCAGAAGGTAACAATGGGGAAAAGAGGAAAGAAAGAAGGTCATCACTGTGGCACACAGACCCCTCAGACAAAGGTTTGTGCTGTTAAGCACAAAAAGAGAGGAGAGAGGAGACAATGGGGGGAGAGTGTGGAGTCCAAAACACCCTTTAAACCAAACGCTTTTTAAACCAAATACATTTAAAACCAAACACATTTTAAACCCACCCACCAACACCATTTTATGCCAAGCCAGCCACCCCAGCAGCCCCTCACAGAAAATGTTCTGATTTTAAAACAGAAAGATTTTGGAGTCACATTTTAAACCCACACATTCTAAAACAAAAGAGAGATCACAGTACACAAGCCCTAGGAGCCACAGAATGCAAAAATAAATGAATACATTTTACATTTTAAAATTACAGTCTAATTTTCACATTTAATTTTAATTTAACATTACAGTCTAATTTTCACATTTTAAATCCACACTGCAAGATCCATCAGAGCACAGAAACATAACCCCCCCACCTAGCCCAAATCCAAGCTGCAAAAACCCAATACAGTAAATACAGTGTACTCACCCAGAACAGGCAGTCTCTGTTTTAAAAAAGAAAGTCAAAAATCCAAAAAGCAAATTTTTTAAAAAAGCCAAAAAATAAAATACTGTACAGTACCAGGCAGTACAGTACCAGGCAGTCTGAAGTCTCTCTCCGTGTCCACATACTAACCGCTAGGGCAAATGAGGTACAGACAAGTAGTCTCTTCGCTCTCCAACGGTTAACTGACAGCAGTTCAAATTTCCCACTTTCCCCGCCTTCCCTGCGTTTTTTTTTTTTTTCTGGTTGCAAGTCGAAGCTAAATTTTGCGACCGGAGCTGTTCGTAAGTCGAATGGGTCATAAGTAGGGATGGTCATAAGTTGAGGCACCACTGTACAGGCTACATATTGCACACGTGCCCCACGTGAGCTGGGTGCTCTGTTTACCGTGGAATGATAGAAGGTTGAGTCAGCCTTGATCCAGCTACCTAAGCCTGTTAAGATCAAATTAAGGTTGTGAGCAGAGTCTTGACTGCAGTACTGCAGTTTAACCACTGTACCATAAGGCTCGTATTTTAGGCAACTATCTTGAGTTCAGAATGCAGTAGATTGAATTTCTCCACAGAAGGAAAACTCCTGTCACATAAAGGAAATGTTTGGATCCAACGGATAACGTTCAATATATTTGCCTAATATTTTTGGCTTAATACAATATTGTTTACCACATTTGTATATATGGACTGCTCCTTTGTTTCTTCAGTTTTACATTGTAGTAACTTCCAAGCAGTACATAAATAATAGTTGTCTGTTCCAGTATCAACTTGGGAAAAACCTGATGATTTTGTGTCTCACACAAACGAGATTGGGAAGAATAGAAGAAGTCATGCTGAAGAGAACCCAGAAACTGATTCAAAACAAGCTGAATCAGATAGTAAAAAGGAGGGCAGTGAAAATGAGTTACAAAAGACAAAAAGAAACTTCCAGGTAATTCATGTCCTCTTCCATCTAGTTTTATTAAGGTAGTTGAGTGTAAAATCTTTTGTCAGTACAGATTTATATTTAAGTTTTGAGAGAAGTTTAGTGTAAAAAACAGCAGCTTTGAGACTTCAAATGTCAAACAGTTGTTGGCAGAACATCTGTGGACTTCTATTAAGATGTAAGTCAGTTGGAGCCCCATGCTTTGGTTAGTTAAATAGGCCACATATGGTTGGGATTTAGAGTAAACTTTCAGGTACTCACTAGCCGTTGACCTTGCCTGAATTAAAGTTCAGTACTTGTTTTCGAGATACTTCACTTTAGCTTTACCAGTGTCAGTACCTGCTGCAGAATCTGCTTTCTGGATGAAAACTAAATATTTAGGCAGGAGGTAATTGAACATAGTAACTAATTGAAAACTCATTCTTAGAGGTAGGTGAAAAAATATTCCAGAGACTTCCAATGAAAAAGTACCTGAAGTGAAATTCCCTTCAGGTGGGAGAAGGGAACACATGCCTAACCCTGGTGCAGCCAAGGAGGCCCACCTACTTTCCCTCAAAAAACAGCTCATTCTGAACTGCTGAGGGAAAATATATACCAATAGATATACATATGAGAAAGGTTTGTGTGCAGAGGATTGAGTATCTGCATGGACCAGGATGGCAGCCAGCACCACATGTGGCTTTTGGGACTAGGAAGATTGTTCACTCCTGATATAGCCCAATTCCATGGCGCGTACGATGCGCCTAAATTCCTCTGTTTCAATAGGCTTAGATGCTCCAATTGTGCTTCACATGTATCTGTCAGTCTTTTAGTAAATGCTTGTATTTAAAAGAGTCTGTTGCGAGAAACCACCATTTTTATTTGTTTGCTTCTTTGTTTGCCCCCTTCTTCCTTATAAGATCCATGGTGACTCTTGTGAACTAAAAAAAACCAGACATGATTCTAAACACAGTAGATCACATTGTTAAATGATTGTTAAATGAATCATTGGAATTAAAACCATGCACAATTAGCACTGCTTAAACATATGTTAAAAAAAAACCAAAAAGAAGTACAGTTCTCATGTGTGATTTTAAAAAGTGTCTTTGCCAGCCAGCAAAAGGTAGCCTTGCTTTCCTTGGGAGGGAGTTCCACAGCAGTGCCTAAGAAAGCACCAGATGTGCCTGTGAAGGTGGAGAGACAGAAAGATAAGAGACATCTTCTTATCTTTAAGACCCATTCATTCTCACATGGGAAGATACAGTCTTTCAGAGAATTTGGACTCAAATGGGCTGCCTTATGAGATGGTTTACACAGGTTCCTTTGAAACTAGACACATAGAAACACACACCATGGTGCCATTAACTTTTTAAAGTTTGCTGTTGCTGTATACAAAATTTGTCAAACTAAGCAAGAAAAGAAGAAAAGAAGAAAATAAAAGCTGAATATTTTTGACATTAATAAACAGTAACCTTGAATTCAAAATAGCATGGGTTCAGAAGTTTTAGTTTTCTTACTTTTCTAATTAAACTCAACTGTTTTTAAACAGTTTCCTTATTTGAAGGGGGAACATAGCATTGTAACTTTTGAGGCAGTGTTAGTGTAGCAGAATTGAGTGAAGTGATGTTGTGTTCTCCTCCTTATTTAGCAAAGAACAGAAAGCAGTGAAGAAGTAAAGGAAAAGCCTTGCAGACCCAAAAAGATCAGCCCTTACGGAGAATGGCGGGAAGTGCAATGGGAAGGCACAGATCAAGAGGACAGAGCACCTCTTCGGGAAGAACCATCTCGGACACCATCTCAAACAGTTAAGCCTTATGGTGAATGGGAGGAAATCACAGAAGAGGAAGATCCATAGTAAGTCTTTTTATTATTCAGAAGCATATTTAATTAACACAGATTTTTTAAAATACATTAAATTCTTTTTTGTGGATTCACGCAACAGGAGTTCTGCGCCTGCGTAAGCGATCCTTCAGAATGTTCCAGAGTCTCAGCCGCATGTTCCCCGGGTAGATAATATGAGCCCCACCTCTGCATGTTAGTCCCTTTCTTTCTGCCATGAGAGGAGGATATCTTCGGCTTGCTCCTCTCTACTCTTCTTACAGTAGACCTTTTTTCCTTTTTCTTCCTTTGTGTTCCCCTTACTTCTTTATAGTTGTTAGCGAGTAAGGAACTAGAACAATATAGTATAGAAAAAGATTGAAATAAAAGGAAGGGAATAACTTCAGTAATATATAAACATTTGGTTGAGGAAGCATTTCTCAAGGGTATGGGATCTAAAATAACATGGGAAACTAGTTTGAATATCAGTATATCAGAGAAAGAATGGATGGAAATATGGACTACATATCCATATAAATCAATATCAATCAAAGGGAAAGAAATGGTTTTGAAGGTAGTCCACAGATGGTATTGGTATCCCACAAAATTAATGGAGAAATCTCAGATAGGTGCTGGAGAAACTGTGGAAGTAAAGGCACACTAGAACACATGTGGATCTCTTGCCTCAAAGTGGAAGCATATTGGAGGGAAATAATTAAATGGATAGAAACGTTGTTGAATCAAAATAATTAAAAATGAAGTTATTGTCGATATTTAAGAATGGAAATGAAAAATTATTCAATAAATACCTAATTGCACATCTTATTGGTGCAGCAAGAGTTAAAATTGCACTAGACTGGAGAAATGCTCAAGATCTTTCAGTAAAAAAAAATTGAGAACAGAATCTGGCAAAAGGTCCTGATGGAAAAGCGTGGAAAAGCTGATCAATCAAATTAAAGGAAAATAAAACAGGATAAATTTATGAAAACCTGGCAACCATTATTAACATATGGAATTAGCTCAAAAAAAGAAGAATGTGATATGGGAAGTAATTTGGATTGCTGGCATGTAATATTTTAAAAAGAATTATGTTAAAATAGGGATTAGGGGATGTATAAAGAAAGACAATCTACTGAAAGAATATGTAAGTAATGTAATAGTGTTGTACTACAATTATAACTTGCATTGTCATACTGTGGATGTTAATAAAAATTTAAATTACTTTTTTTTTAAAAAACACTACTCTCTCCATTCAGAGAGAGTACTATTATGGCTTCAACAACAGCTGTGGTCCCATAAGCCAGGCTATGCAAGAGACCACTACAGCTCTACTACCTTCTCAATTACAACAGTCAGATAGATCTGAAGTACAAAAAGTTTATCCTGCCCCACCAGCTTTGGAAACAACTTCTATGGTGGACCAACAGATGTCACTTAACTGTGGGAGTACCCTTTTGGCAACCCCAGGCCAGCCTGATGATAGTCACCGTTGCAAGTACTATTGGTTGGGGAGTTCACTGCCTCAGCAGAACCATAAATTATCTGTGGTCTCCGTATGAGAGAACTCACCAATCAACTTTTTTGAGCTCCTTGCAATCTTCAAAGCACTCAGGGCTTTCAAGAATCTCCTCAAAAACACTATACACAAATAGAGGGGCACAAAGTCCCTCAATCTACTTATCACCATCCAAATGGGGGACTGGTGCATCACCTGCAGCATCCTCCCTATGGCTGTCCATGTTTCCAGACCTGACAATGCCAAATCCTATGCTCTCAGCCATACCTTGGTACAGAGACATTACCCTCACATCCTGCTGGGGACAGCCCCATATAGATGTCTTTGCTGTCAACAAAAAGTGCCGCCTTTTTTGCTCTCGAGCCAGTATTAGCAGACATTCCATGGGCGACTCTTTCACTCTTTCCTGGATGCCCTCCCTCCTCCTCATGTTTCCACCGTTCCCCCTGATCTGATGCACCATAGTTGAAATGCAACAGAACAACTGCAGCATCATTTTACTGACTCCGTAGTGGCCAAGTCAGCCATGGTTCGCAAACCTCCTCCTACTGTCTGCCGACAGGCAGCGTGTCCCTCTCTGCCACAACCTTCTTATTTCCCACAACTGCTCAATCAAGCGCCTAGACATCCAGTGCCTCAAGTGACATCCTATTCTCCCACGATAATGAAAATTTTAGCGCAGGTCAAAAAGCTGTCCACTAGCAGGCTGTATGTCTATAAATGGAACAAGTTCCTTACCTTTCAGTCTTCTATTGGAGTCCAACCACCCCACCCCACCCCGCATTTCTGGATACTGTCTTGAAATGTGTGCTATATCTTAAACAATCTGGGTTCTCACTTTCATCTCTAAAAGTCTGCTTGGCTGCATGCCTCCTCGCATCTTTTTACAGATCCAACCTTGCAAAAGTTCCTAAAGGGACTAAGAAATGCCTTCCCTGACATTAAAGCTCCACAGCTTTCCTGATCTCTCTCCTTGATGCTTACCCATCTTACATCTCCACTGTTTGAACCTTTAGCTACAACTGAGTGGAGACTCCTCACACTCAAGGTAGCCATTTATTGGCCATTACATCTGCCTAACGAGTGAGTGAACTTACAGCCCTCCAGTGTGACCCTTCATACATTCAATTTCATTGAGACAAGATTACCTTATATACTGATGCTTTTTTCTTGCCCAACGTCATTTCCTCCTTCCACTTGTCTTGGCAGCTAGTCCTCCATACCTTCTATCCTTCTCAACAACAAACCTGGAAAAGGGATTGTACATCTTAGATGTCAAGAGAGCATTGGCATTTTACCTTTCCTGTATCAAGGACTTCAGAATGACTCCAAGGCTGTTTGTTGGCTACCACGGTCCGAGTAAAGGTCACCCAATCTCCTCCCAATGTCTGTCTCGCATGGCTTGCTTATGCCATGGCCAAAGTAGAACTTCGGTCACACATACAAGGCCATCCCACACGCTTCATCACACTCTCTACAGTTTTTGCACATGGTGTCGACATTCAGATGTTCTGCAAGGCAGCCACCTGGTTGCAACCTCTTACCTTAGCCATGCACTATAGCTTAGATTTGTGATTCCTCCTTTGGCAAGTCTATCTTATCTGGTATACTCGCATGGCTCCTTCCACCAAAACACCTTGCTGGTCATCATTGTGTGACTAGATAGAGGCAATGAAAAAGAAGAACAGGTTACTCACCTGTAACATCCGTTCTTTGAGTGATCCTCTGTGTATTCACACATCAAACCCTCCTCCCCACTGTTGCCTCACCATTCTCTCTCTATATATATCTGTGATGGACACATTAGGGACTAACGTGCAGAGGCAGGGCTCGCATTATTCCGAAGGATCATCTGCGCAGGTGCAGAATACCCGTTGTGTGACTACATAGAGGTCCACTCAAAGAACTGATGTTACAGGTGAGTAACCTGTTCTTTTACTTTTTAAAAAAAATTATGAAGAAATGGCATAATGTAGTGGCATCTACCTGAGAGCTGGCATATCCCTAGTTTAAATCTCATATTCTGTACAGTGGGGTCTTGACTTAAGAACGGCTTGAGTTAAGAACATTTTGACTTAAGAACCACTCTCATAGGTAAATATTGACTTGACTTACATACTTAGATTTGAGTTAAGAACTGAAAAAAACCACGTGGGAGGCAGGGAAAGTGCAAAATGTGAACTTTCAGTTAACTGTTGGCCAGTGAAAAGGGTGCCTGTCTGCTTCCTCACTCCTCCCAGCGTTTAGAGAGTGGATTGGGAGACAGTCTTCAGACTGCCTGGTACTGCCTGGACTGTCTTTTCCCTGCCTTCCCTGAACCTTTCTTGACCTAAGAAAAAAAGAAACAAAATATCCCCCTCTAGTGGTCGAAGGCGGAATAGCAGCTTCCCATTAGTTTCTATGGACGGAAAAGAGCAGATACGGATCAAATGGTTTTCAATGCATTCCTATGGGAAATGCAGATTTGACCTGAGAACTTTTTGACTTGAGAACCACCTTCCAATACGGATTAAGTTCTCAAGTCAAGACCCCACTGTATATGGAATGCACGTGGTAGTCTTAGGCAGGCCACCATACAATATGCTCATGCCTTTGTGTGCAGTAATAATAGTGTTATCCTTTAAAGGATTGCTTCTATGATTGCTTCTTTAAAATTCCCTCTGAAACAAAGTGATACCAGGTGCAGACAGCTGTAGTACCCAGATCTGTGAGCTAACAATTTACTGAAATTAATTTCTGCTAGCCACTATGGCTGAAATCCTGTTGCATGATATAAAATTTTGCAACTGAATTTCATCCTATGTTTTCATCCTTTAGCTTGTTTCTCTGAATACCTGAAGTGCCTTACTGACTGCCAGCTTATCAAGGGATTTTAATGTTTATAATAATGAGGACTGCTCTTGATGAATTCTTTATTTTATTTTCTTTCTTTTTGAATGCTTAGTGAAAAAGTAGACTTGGAACTCCCTGAAACAGAATGTGATTCTCTGCCAGCCCCTGCTCTGCAAGTACCAGAGGATGCCAAGATTATATTTAAAGAAAAAACTGTCAGTTCTCTTGGTAGCACCACAGAAGGGATACCAGTTTTCAAAAAGCGAAAATTTGAAAATGGAAAATCTAGAAACATACGACAGAGACTGAATGATCACTAATACTTTCAGCGCAATGTTCAGATGCTCTTTCAGTGGAAGAAGGAAAGAGATGAAGAAAATAAATGCTTTAAAACAATTTCTTTATAAGAAATTTCTTTATAAGAAATTGCTGGAAAATAACAGCTTCTGGTTCTTCAAAAGTTTCTTGGATATGTATTGTATTAAACAACTGTTTTGGGGATGATAACATTTTTATTTGTTGGAATGTAAATTTCATGTAGGCAGTTTTGTAAATATATATTTTACAAACCATGTTACCTGAATTCAGAATGCACAACCATGCAAATTCATTTTACAGATTTGTTAATTCTGATCATCTAATTAGCACCTATTATTTTTTTGTAATCTGCCTTGACAAAACATAGTACTATAGAGATCACAGCATTTTAACTGTCCATAATTTAGTTAGTGGAGATTTAAATGTAACACCATTTTTGTCTCAATTTTTTTCTGATATTTTTCTCCTGAATTTTCAATGTGTCATTATGGCAGTTACCTGGAAAAGTGAATGAGAAAAATAATGCTTTATTGATTCGTGTTGATGGAAATAGATGCTGGTTTATCTCTTGCTTGTGAAGATGTTCTGTATAGGCACTGAGTATAACATTTGTCGTATCACACTCTTAATTCCTCATCTGTCCAATGTAAGAGGCTGGTGTTATAAGTACTCTTTGGTTAGAACAACTTTGGGGACCAAGGTAAGCTGAATTCTCTGATCTATATAAGTTTGCACATAGAGTAAATGTAGATACATTTGTACTGAACCATTTATTATTCTGCTGTTAGTCACATTGTGATTTTGCAGAGGTTTAGAAGACTTTTCTAGTCAGTATTTGCCCCTCAGCTTATCTTCCCTGCACAGACATTTTGGTTGGTATCTTATTGCTAAGGAATTATGACTGGAACATACAACTCTGTGTACAGTTCCTCTTCCCTGCTGTTTATGCCGCAAGAGGAATCCAATAAGCCCTAACACAAGTACAAATCCCCATTGTCTTTACACTGCTTGCATAATTAGAAGCCAGATATCCCTTATGGTTTACGTTTGTCAAGATGATTATACCCCCACCCCCTTTGTCTTCACTGTATATGCAGCAAGTAATGAAAGAGTACTTGTTTTTTGCAAAAAACTTGAATGAGAACAGAAAAGCATTTGGCATAATTTAATTGTAGATGGCCACAATTTGTTTCCTACAATACTGCAACACTTGTTGAGCTTGATTTCTTACAGAACCATGCTGCACACATCTAGTCAAACAAAGCTTACTCCATGCTGTATACTGAGTCCAACGAGGCTTACTCCCAAGTAATGTGTATAAGACTACAGCCTGTACTATATTAATATATCTGGAAATGCATTCCATTTAACTTCTAACTTCTGAATTGCACTGTTAGTTTCTCAGATACTGAAAACTTTATTGTGAACAAGTTTTTAGAGGAATGAGTATGTACCATACGTTAGAAAACAGAAGCATCATTTTTGCTTTATTTAACATTAATTCCTACTTCTAGTGGGAAAAGATAAATTAAAATACAATAAACCTTGAGGAAACTTTGTAGAAATGTGTTTAACTTTCAACATGCCACTGTGATTTATATTGTGCATATTTTAAGCCATTTGATCTGAAGTGTCTGTTAATTTTATTTTTCAGCTGGCACAAACAATCTGTATCTTAAGTTCAGATACATTGTTTTGGAAAGCCAAATCATTCTTCATTGTGGCCTTTGTGAATGCACACAATAGGGGTTTTGGCAGCACCTGCGCTGGTCCTCTCGGAATCTTCAAGAGCTTTTGTAGAAAAGTAACAAAGTTTAGAGTTGCCCCTATCGCGCATGCTCCACCCGCTTCAGCCTTCAGTTCCATTTTACTGCCTTTGGGATTGGAACCTCTCGATTTTAGAGCTCTCTGATTGACATTTCTGACTGAATTATGGACCTTTGATGCCGTTTTTCCTTCGGATATTCAAACTCTGTTGCCCTTGATAAACGGTTTGCCTGATGTTTCTTCGCCTTAAAGATTTGGATTGTTTTTTTTTATCGGATTGTCTTGCGTTCCCGCCCTTTTTTCAGCTGACCGTTAATACTCCCTTTTGCCCTATAGCTCTACATTTCTTTAAAGAATTGGACATTCCGCACTATTGCCAACATTTTAATCTAGACTCCTGCTAGCTACCTCAGTTTTTCGCTCTACTTTATGTCCTGATCCGGTCCCTTCAGTAGGTGCGTGGTGTGTTCCTGAAAATTACCATTCTCCGATGGTCACGACCACTGCCTTTTTTGTTTAGGAGAATCCCATCAACCACATTCTTGTGAACATTGTAAAAAATTCACTAAAACCACCCTTAAAGCACAGCAAAAGCGCTTATATTTTTTTCTTTGGGATAAAACGCTCTCAGCATTAAGCCCCTCCGAGATGGAAACCACCCCCACACCATCGGCGACCTCACGTTTGGAGGTTCAAATTGCTTCATCACCTCCGGTGTCAAAATCTGTCGACAAAACTGCAAAGAAATCCACGTCAACCACGGAAAAACTTACCTCGACGCTGAAATCCACTTCGAACACGTTTTCAAAGGATCCTGTGAAAGAGAAAAAATTGTCTAAAGATAAGAAGGACAAGTTTAAAGACCATAGAAAGCAGGTGCCTCCAATTTTGGCGTCGCTGCCATCTCTGATATTAGAGGACTCATCCCGGGACCGGGAATCCCTTTTGGAAGCCGCTGCCTCTCTCCCATCTCAGCAGCTCGAGACTTCGCCTGCCGACCTCAAACCTCTCAACTGTTCTCCGACACCTAGCCAAATAGTGCATGCTGTCGCTAGCCCAGCTACTGCCCCTCATAGCCCTGTCTCTACCAGGCGGGCATCACCGGCGCCTTCATTGCCATCGTCTTCCTCTTTGAGACCACCTTCTCCACCTCGAAAGAAGGCTGCTAAGAGTAAACACCTCTCACCGGATCGACGGCGAACATCCCGACATGAGATGGCGGTTCTACCTCGGTCTTCTCGACGTCGATACAGATCAAAGTATGTCAAGGTCGATCGTAAGAAGTCTTGTCACCAACGTCGACTCTACGACTCGGACACCAATTCGTCATCAAGCGGGGAAGACTACCGCAGGGAGAAAAAGATTCAATATGTCTATGCATCTTTGTCTTCCTCCTCTTCTTCATCTCCACCCCGATGTCGATGCCAAAAACATGTTGTGAGGTATTTGTTGGTACATCTTTACTCTTGTCCACCTGTTTAGAAACTCGACCGGTGTTGACACATTTGTACATAAGAAGAGAAATCTCCCCCTATAGGTGTTCCTCCTGAAGCCTCAGAGGAAACTTTATCTCCTTGGCACAACACATCAGAGGAGAGAGGCTCATATGGATCAATATTAGAAGGTAATAGTGTAGGATATTTTGTTCTGTCTTCTTTTGTCCAATTCCGAATTTTGAGGCACGCAGGTCAAGTGAGTTCTCGAGTGTGCCATCTTCTATGTCGAGTGTGAGGTATTTGTCGGTACGTCTTTACTCTTGTCCACCCATTTAGAAACTCGACCAGTGTCAACGTTGAGATGTGTTTGGCATCGATGTCAGGGTGGAGACGAAGAAGAGACAACATGCCTGGCTAAGGTCTTCAGGTATTATAGAAGATGTTAAAACATGCATAGAAGACCTACCTTTTGATGAGAAAGGTCTCTTTAATGAGAAGACTGATGATAATTTGGAGAACCTGCACAAGATTAAAAAGACTACTAAATCATATACTATCCAACAACAACCTAAATACAATAAATATCAGTGGTGTAAACAATACCCACAACAATACCAGCAACCGGCTTCTCAATCTTACTGACCTTTCAAAAACCAGAACCGGACAAGATCCTCTCAGGCCTCATCTTCTACTTCCACTTTTTCGGCCACAATCCTCTTCACAACACCATTAATCTTACAAGCCACCGGCTAAAAAAATCAAAACAGTATCTTTGACTCACACACAAAGCTATCCGAACCCGATCATCCTACTTGACTAGCACCATATTTTCACGACTGGGCAAACATCACAAAAGACTCTTGGGTCTTAAGTATTATTCAATTCGGCTACCGTCTGGAATTTACAGAATTTCCTCCTCTAGGACAAATCAAGCTTACGTCCTTCGATCCTGTTCTAGAAGAAGAAGATTCTCACTCTTCCTCAAAAGCAAGCTATTCAACAAGTTCCAATGCGAGATATAACAAACAGATTCTATTCCCGTTACTTTGCCATGCCAAAAAGGACGGCAGGATCAGGCCCATTCTAGACTTAAGACAAACACTTCACTTCATCCACGACGCTTTCGGATGGTCACACTATAATCCATCCTTCACCTACTAAGACGAAAAGACTGTTTTGTAGTAGTGGATCTCAAAGATGCCTACTTTCATGTAACAATTCATCCACGTCACAGGAAGTACCTTTGGTTAATTTTTCAAGACAACATTTACCAAGTCCGTGCTCTTCTGTTCGGGCTGTCCACACCTCCACAAACATTCACGAACTGCATGGCTCCAGTAGCGGCCTACCTTCGTCTTCAAGGCATCCAAGTCTTCCCATATATAGATAACTGGCTGGTGGTATCCATCAAAACGAAAGGCACTTCGACTGGTGGTATCTCCATCAAAACGAAAGGCACTTTGAGGCACCAAGTTTCTTTTTCATACTGTGAGAGACTGTCGACTATCAGTCAACCACAGGAAGTCCCACCTCGTACCATCCTTGGTGGTCGACTATATAAGAGCAAGGCTGGACTCTCTCAGGGCTCAAATATTCCTGCCACCAGACCGCACAAAGATCAGCAGAGCTGTTCACAGATTTCGACCACGCTCCAAGGTCTCAGCGAGGCATGCTCAACATCTGCTTGGCCTCATATCTTCCATGACATCCACAGTGGCACGCGCCCGCCTGAAAATGCAATCTCACCGGGCGTGGTTCTTGACTCTTTTCGATCCTCTTCAGGACAGTCCACAAAGTGTTTGTTCATCACAACAGAACTGGTGAAACAGTTACAGTGGTGGACATCTCTCCCACATCTCCTGGCCGACCATTTCGACTCTGCAACTAACAGTTCAGGTGACGACGACGAATGTGTGCTCCACAGAGTGGGGAACACTGTGGACCTCACCGAATACATGCTCTATGGTCACATCAGGACAGATGGTTACATATCAGTCATCTGGAGATACTGGCAGTTATAATAGCCTTCCGAGCATTCCTTCCTCTAATACAAGCTTGTGGTGTTCAGGTGATCACGAACACCACGACCATGTACTATATCAACAAACAGGGAGGGACACGCTCCATGTCCCTTCTGTTCTTCTCAGTACATCTATGGGAATGGTACTACCATCATCACATCTTTCCAGTGGCCATCCATGTTTCAACGACGGACAGCGAACTCGCAGACAAACTGAGTAATCTCACAGCACAGACTCACGAGTGGGAATTGGACAAGGGAGTCTTTCTCATGTCATGCAACAGGTGGGGATCCCCTGTTATGGACATGATTGCGACTCAGACCAACAAGAAGTGCATGAAATATGCCTTTCGTGCAGGAAGAGGCATGCATTCACTCGGGGATGCTTTCATGATCCCATGGGGGTCCGGTCTTCTTTATTTTTTCCCCCAATACCACTCATCCAAAGGACACTGGTCAGAGCTCATCAACTGAAGTCCAATGCAATTTTCGTTGCACCGTGGTGGCCTCGTCAACCATGGTTTTCCACCCTCAAGGCGATAGCAGTGGATGTGCTCAAACAACCAGGCATCCCACACTTTCTCAGCCAGGACTCAGGCAACATCCTTCATCCAGACCTCGAGTCATTGCACCTGACGGCTTGGAGAATTACCCATCAATCAAGGAGATCCTAGATAAAGCCAGGAACCTCCTGTACCTCAATGGTCTCTTCAACTTGTTTTGTGCGTGCTTACACGCCACCCCTTTGAACCTATGGCATCGTGTGATATTTGGTTATTGTCATTTAAAACTTTATTTTTGGTTGCCATCACATCTGCAAGAAGAGTGAGTGAGCTGGCAGCTGTCAGATCCAATGCCCCCTATCTTTAATTCTTCAAGGATAAGGTTACTTTACATCCTGACATTTCTTTCTTGCCTGAAGTTGTATAAGATTTCCACCTCAATCAACCCCTCATATTGCCGACCTTGTTTCCTGAACCCACAACAGATATTGAGCTCATGCTTCATTCTCTGGACGTTAGAAGAGCCTTAGCATACTACCTTTCACGAACTAAGGACTTTCGTGCCTCACCAAGGCTATTCATGTTTCCATGAAACAACATAAACATTCTCCTGCTTCCTCTTCTACTGTCTCCACATGGCTTGTCTCTGTTACATACCTGGCCTATGAACATCAAGGCAAGACTCCTCTTGAAGGTCTCAGAGCATATTCCACCAGAGCTCTTGCAACATCTACAGCCTTGCTATGTGGTGTCGATGTGCCAGACATCTGTAGAGCAGTCACTTGGTCCAATGCGTCAACCTTTGTGACGCATTACAGG